CAATTTATAAACTATCAAGGGCTCATGAGGGAGGAGGGAGCGGGGAGGGAGGGGAAAAATGAGGACCTGATGCCGGGGGGCTTAAGTGGAGAGCAAATGTATTGAGAATGATGAGGGCAATGAATGTACAAATGAGCTTTACACAATTGATGTATGTATGGGTTGTGATAAGAGTTGTATGAGCCCCTAATAAAACTATTAAAAATACATAAACTACACTAAAAAAAAAGCCAATCAATCCAGGGTTCATCAGTCTAGATTCTTGACGAAGGAGCTCTGGACTCTCCGAATGCTCATGATACTTTGATGCATGAAATCCCAGAAGATATATAATCATTTGTGATGGATCTACCCTAGCTTGGTCCGAACGATTCCTCCCTGGATACCTATGATTTTGTGTGATCAACTCATTCCCTGTGAGTAGAGGCAGGACCTGTGACCTTCGGCTAACCAGGTGAAAAGGACAAAGGGCACAGGTGATAGGGTATTGCTCCTATGATTATGCTACAATATAAGGCAAAGCGGAGGGGGGTTGCAGATATAATTAATGGCCCTAATCAGTTGCCTTTGAGGTATCAAAAGTAGATTATCTTGGGTGAGTCTGACCTAATCAAGCGAAGCCTTTACAGCAGTTTGAGAGAGAGGCTGTAGATACTCTCTGTTGATGGTTTTGGAAAGAAAAGCTGTTATCAATTTCATAACCACAACAAAGGGAATTCTGCCAATGACCTGAAGGAACTTGGAAGTGGATTCTTCCCTAGTTGAGCCTCCAGATGAGAATGCGGCTCAGCCAACCCCTTGATTTCAGCCCCTGAGACCCTGAGCCAGAGCACTGAGCTAAGCCGTGTCCAGATTCCTGCCCCATGGAAACTGTGAGATAATAAATGACTATTGTTTTAAGCCTCTAACTTTTGACAAATTTGTTTCAGAGCAATAGAACATGACTATGTCATCTTTTCTGGAACAAGCAAAAATGATCTCAGAAAAATGTAACATTCCTCCCTTGAGCCAAGAACCACCCTTTAGATACAAAATGACTCCAAATGTTTTCTTTGTATAGCTACAGTCTTTGTCATCAACAGATGCTCTTTCTTTTAGTCCTCAGTGTGTTTGCGGAGAACCAACTGTTAGTGGTTTTTGAATCAGACACAATGCTGATTGGACCCAGGTCCCTCTTTGCAAGGCTCCCTGCCTCCGTCCGCGGTCTCCCTGTTCTCATATCTTCATGTACCTCTTTCTCTGGAGTTGCCTTCAGATTTCGGACCTTTTGGATTTCATCTTCTGCAAATGGTCGCACCCAAACCAAACTCACTTGCATCGACTCACAGAGACCCTGTAAGGACAGGGTGGAGCTGCCCCAGTGCGTTTCTGAGACTGTAACTCTTTACAGGAGTAGAAAGCCCTGTCTTTCTCTCTCAGAGCAGCTGCTGGTTTCCAACTGTTAGCCTTGCCATTAGCAGCCCAGTTCGTAACCGCTATGCCACCAGCGCTCCTAATTTATGATTTAGTTCAGCACCTGTGCTACTACTATTTAATTCACAGCATTGAGAGAGTAAGTAATTCCTTAAGGCAAAAAGAAATTAATCTTATTTTCTTGGTTTTGCAATGTTAGCTAGCCTAGTGGCTTGTGGGTTAGTGCGCTGAATGGCCGTCTCGCTGTTTAGAATGCAATTGAGGAGATGCTGCTTTGTTTACATCTATTTAAGTTAGGGCTCCTGTTGCTGTTCTGGGCCAGAACATTCTTTCTGGGGGGACGGTGGGGGAGGTCTTGTAACATAGATTGGCCCCTCCTCAGTAGATGCCAGTAGCATATCAGACCCAGTTGTAACAACAAAAATGTCTTCTGACATTTCCAAATGTCCTCTGGGGAGCAAGATTGCCTCTGGTTGAAGAGCACTGCTTGAATGAAGGGATGACTATCCACTATCAATGAATCATTATAGAGTGATTTCTTATTTTGGTTTTACAGTGAAGTTTAAACAAGGTTTGAAAATCTCACTGGATTTTAATTCCATGTTAAATTTCCTGGGATATGTATCAAAGAGCAGTGAAACATAAGCTCATACAGCTGGAAAATCATATTTAAAATCATATTTAACCTCTCTGAAGGGCAATTTGGCAATGTCAACTAAAATTTAAAACATAAATAATCTTCAACCTAGCAATTCCACCTCTAGGGATTATGTGACAGCTATAATTCCCCAAGTGAGAAAGGAGAGATGTTCAAGGGCATTCACTATGACATTACTTATTATAGCAAAATATCCAGGAAAATAGCCATTTAAAATGGGTTAAATCAATCAGGGTACATTTTCATACTAGGATACTAAGCTGTCTCAAAAAAAAAATGAAGCAGTTCTTCATATGTTCTGAAATAGAATGCAAAATTCAAGTGAAGAAATGTGTACAGTTTGTTGCCCTTTGTGCCCTTAACAAACGTAAATGTGTGTCCTGTCTACAAGTAGACTGTCTTGGGTGGCTGGTAGATATGGAGAAAGATCCAATTTTCACTTTATATATATTTGTGTTTGTGTGATACTTTAAAAAAAAAGAGGGGGGAATTCATCATGACTTGCATATCATCATTAGGTTATATTCTACATAGTCCCACCCTAACTTAACATACAACCCAAGTATAGCAGGGCGGACAGAGGGCAGGATGGGAAGTGATACCAGAAGAATTCAAAATCCTAAAAGGAGAGCAAAAATCAAGGCTTAACTATTGCCAAACTAGTAGGAATAGGAACCCAAGCCTTTCTGGAATCATCTTCGCTTGATATCCTCAGTCCTATTTGCAGGTCCTGGCAATTTTCTATTTAAGCAAGAACAAATCTGACTTGGAAGAAGTACCGCCAGAACGCTCCTTTAGAAGCAATGACAGTGAAACTTGGGTTCACATACTTTGGACATGTTCGCAGGAGAGAGAGACCGAGCAGTCCTTGGAAAAGGACATCATGCTTGGTAAAGTCGAGGGACAGTGGAAGAGAGGAAGACCTTGAACAGGATAGATTGACACAGTGGTTGCAACAATGGGCTCCAATGAAAATATGATTGGGTGGCGGGAGGGCGTGACCCAGGACCAGGCAGTATCTCATTCTGTTGTGCATAGGTTCACTAACTTGATGGCACCTAGCAACAACCCCCACCCTGCGTCTAGACAGATTTTCCTTCCTCACTGCCCTGCTTAATTAGATGACGACATCGCCTAATATGCCTTGCTGTTCTATCTCTAGTGTGCTTATAATGATGGTGCTTTTGTAACTGGCTGATAAACGTGCCTGCTCACCTTTTAAGACTCAGTTCAACCCGGAATCGAACATCCTTTGTCCCACTCATCATTCCTGCCCTCACTGTGTTTCCTATCTACTCAGCCAGCTCAGAAATTGGTTTTATTCTACTTCAGTCCAAAGGGACACATTCTTGGAAAAAGCCACATTAATCCTAACAGCTTCCACAGCAGACCCATTAGGTGCTGAAAAGTGAGAGGGTGCGACACTTGGCAAAGGTGGTAGAAAAAAGGTGGGGGGGGCATCAGTGGCATGGGCATTTACAATGGAGTCACTTAGCAGCTGGCATTTTTCTGTCTTACGAATTAATCCCAAATCAAATGTCTACTTTAAGCATCATGTGGCTCAGAAATACTCGTATTCGGTGGTGCAAACAATTAGTGTACTTGGCTACCACTGGGTTCGAGATTTGTGTTTGTTTACCCAGAGGTGCCTTAGAAGAGAGGCCTGATGATAGATCTACTTCTGAAAAAATCAGCTATTGACAATCCAATGGAGCACTGTTCTCTGGGGTGGTCACCAGAAATTGGAAATGACTCAACACTCACTGGTACTGATGGGGAAGTATAGTGTTGTAAAGAGAGAAAAGGCTTATATCATCAAAACATATTCAGTTGATAAGGATTGATTCAAACTTTCCATTGGTTACCAGTGACTGCTCTTTTCCGCTCTGACATATCTTACTTTTCTTTGCAAAAGAAGGTTCAGCCTGCTCCCTGAAAGGCTATTTCTTCTGCTCCTTTGCACTTTGCCTAGCTCAACTGAAATCACTCCATGATGGTGAGAGGAATACTTCCTCTGTGATCATCTCTCTGGCGGGACACTACTACGATTTGCTCTCATAAAATTACCCCGGATGGTAAATGTAAAACTGGCCTTACACAAGCCCTCTATGCTTTAGGCATGGCCTGGAATTTTTCCCAGATAGGGGCCGATCCAGAGCCATGTATGTATGTGTTTGGTCGTTAACAAAAGGTCAGTGGTATGAGCCCACCAAGCTGCTCCAGGACACAAAGATATGGCTGCCTGCCAGGTAAAGACTGGGAATCCTATGGAGCGGTTCTATGCACAGACCTGTTATGAGGGTTTTGGTTTGAGAGGGACCAATCATTAACACTTCCACGAACTGTCCCTGCTGTTCCACAGAACAGGACCAGGTAGTTGGCATGTGCTGGCTCTTAATTTTAGTAAATTTTTCAATGTCGCAGAAAGGAAGATAATACTCAATGTATGGTATATGGAGTAAAGCATGTCATTCCCACCCAGAAATGGCCTTTAACTCTAATCCAGGAGACCCCAATGTCTTTCTTCCCAATGACGTCACTTTCCTCTCATCCAGGAGGTAAAAACTTCCTTAGTTTTTAAAACCGTTTTAGTCCCCATGCATGCATCCGTCAACTAAATAGTTTCTTCTGCTTACTAAACTTGTAAACCTTTTGGAAATTGATTCCTGCTGCGGATGGACTTTTGTTCCTTGTTTCTTTCCCTTAACAATATGTTTGTGAAATACATCCATGTGGTGGACCAGAGGTCATTACTTTTCATGGATGTTTGGCCAGCTATTTTTACTAGTGTAGTCCAAGTGTAGGGCAATTCCGACAATAAATCTTGCATCCTCTTTCCTTCCTTGTCTTCCCTTGATGTTTACATTCAGGAAATGCATGCTTTTGGAAAGCTGCCACCAAACAGACACGGCCGTTGCATAATACTCACTGACGACATTGGCTTGTCCAGTAAAGATGGTGTACTGCAGCTCATAGGAGACCACGCTGAACTCATCGTCAGAGGTCCAGTGGACAGTGATGGTGTCGTAGGAAGCCGTGCAGAGCTCTTCTCGAATGGTGGGAGGGTTGGGAGCTGTGGGTTCAAGAAGGTCCATTAGCTCATGATGTTGAATAGTCAAAGCAAGCTTTTCTAAGCAAGTAGTCAGGAATACTGTCCTAGAGGTGGTGACCCAAACCCAAGCAACATTCAGTCTACTGATTATCACTCTGACTGATATAGAGCCAATCTATATGAACTTAGCTTTGTTTACCATGCACAGGTCGAGGAGGTTCCTTGCGCATGAGGGCAAGACACCTGAACTAATAAATAAGCATATCATGGTTTCATTTACTTTTGGGGGTTGGAAAACGTTTTTAATCAGTGGTTAGATGGCAAATATTTCAGACTTGACAATACACGATCATTGTTGTAACCACTCAACCATGCTATTGTAGTGTGAAAGCCACAGTAGGCAATAAATACATGTGCATGGCTAGACCTTCATAAATTTTCAATTACAAAACAGGCAGAGATCTGGGTTTGACCTGTGAGTCAAAGTTTACCTGTCGGTGATTTACATGATACCACATATTTGAATATTCAGGGACCCATTTGGGAAAATACTGATGTTTTGCTATCACATAACAAATGAATCAAAAAATTACTTGGTTTTTCTCTTTCATTAGATATTTTGACATCTTCTTAGAAAGACATGTTTGTAAAACTCTGGTTTCTTTTCAGTTGTCAACATAAAGTGATACTTCCAATGTAAAATAATATAATTAATAACCAATCATATGTAAGAAGTCAAATTTCCTCCTCAAGGAAAACATGATTCTTTGACATTTGGTTAACTTTATCCCCACAGAAGATGGCTATTTTACTTCTTTAACACATTCTCCAACAGAGAAAAGTTTAAATCCTACCAAAATAATTATTTTTGAAATGACTTCTACTGGATTGATTTCAGTGACTGGTTTTATGAGAAAGAGTTTATGGGAAAGAAAAAAAAAAAACAGGCAACGAGTGTTTTCTATAGGCAATAATATTTTAGAACAGGGATTGGCAAACTATGGCCTGTGGGCAAAATCTGGCCTACAACTTGTTTTTGTAAATAAAGTTTTATTAGAACACAGTCATGCCCGTTTTTCTACGGCTGGGCATTTTTTTTTTTTTTGGCAATCGCAGAGTTGAGCACTTTAAACTGAAGGGCTTACAAAGCCTAAAATATTTCCATCTGGATTTTTACAGAAAATGCTTGCCATGCTTCTATAAGTACCTAACTACAAAAGGAGAAACATACCTGTATTTTGAAGGCTAGCCCTAAGCTTTGCTTACACAATTATAGAGGTCTTTGCTGTTCAAAACTTTGATCAAGATTGATCAGTCCAAAACGAATCCAAAGAGAGCCAAGTTTATGAAAATGGTCATTGTAAAACTCTGATTTTTTTTTTAAAAATGTCCTTCACTTTGTCACATAAAGATATACCCAGGACAAGTATCATAAGAAGCAAATAGCTTTCAGTCTGAGGTATTCAACCACATAGGCCAGTATTGTCTGTTAGTGACTCAATCCCATACACATTACTGATTCCCTAAACTGTGGTGTGGCACTGCACTCGCTAACTCCTGCCTGAAACTAGAGGCCTCTACCTCCCCATCCATACTCAGGGAATTACTGGGTCGTGCTCAGCTGCTAAAGAAAAGGTTCAAAGTTCAAATCTACCATGAAATCTCTCAAAAGATAGGCCTGATCATTTACTTCTCCAAATACTAGCCCCCGAAGACACCCTGACGCATGTGAGGCCATCATGAGTTGGAATCAACCCCATAGCGAACTAGTTTGTTTTTAACACACCCAATATATCTGTCTCCTGCATTATCTCTGTGTGAGATTGAGCGTGCTGTGGTGCCACTTGGATGCGCATGAACCAGCCCTGCCACCCGGAAGCATTTTCCCTAGGGGAGGCCCAGCTCTATCACACCTGATGGTCTGTGTGAACCCTGTGAGTGTGGACTCCAATCTTGTACAACTCAGTGAAGAAATCCAGGTTCTCCCATCCTTTCTACCAGGTACTGAAGGAAGAACTTGGTCTTTCTGCATTGTGATACTGGATTAGATATGAATAAAACCTTATCCTCAAAATAGGCAAATAAATATGAGCCACAAGGCAGTCACCGTAATCAGGGAGAAAATGTCACCTCTCTGGGTTATTAACTTGACAGCCCATGTGGAGGCAGGAGGGGGTGGGGATTTTATTTTCGCAGCCAGGCATTAAGCGTAATCACCATGTTGTGATTATAAACCCATTGGGTTCTGTCCTGAAAAGTCAATATACAATTTACTGTGGATGGCAGCAGCAGCCTGCTGTCAATTTCAATATCCACTGACTGGGACCCAGAGCTGTTATTTTCTTGCCTCTATCTCCAACCGAACATGAGGAACTGTGGGCTAATGCTCTACAAACACTTTATTTCCTGCTTACAAATGTCTGACAAACTATGTGAACTTGGGAATATCAGTCAAGTATCATGTGTTATGGCCACAGTCCATGTTATGTCTAGAAATGCACCACATTTCTCTTCAGGGTTGACAGCTAAGAAGGCAGAATAATAGGTAACCTGTATGGGTTTTAGTGGGTGATAAACAACCATCAGGATGATAGATAGTATACACATCAGATTCAAGGCAAACGAATCCCACATTTCCCCTTTAATCAGTACTTTTGCATTCACGTGGAGCTTAGAATGGGCATCCGTTGTTGGAGTACTATTAAGACTATTGGGAAATGGATCAGATGCATTCTTTTCAACAAGACCCCTCTTTTCCATAAAACGGCCATCTCCTCAGCCCCAACCGGAACTTTCCAGTTTCCTCTGCCCTTGGATGTGGCCCTGCGATGTGTTTCGGCCCACAAGACACAAGTGGAGATGTGCTAGGTGGGTTTTAAAAGAAAGCTTTTAATTTTCCTGCTGCAGCAAAACACACGGGACTGGCGGAGCCTATGGTCCAGCCTCTCTCCCTTTTATTTTGCTAAGTCAAAGGACCACAGATTGGATTTTAGGGAATTCATGTATCACTAAATACTTATAAGATTAAAGAGACCATAAGAGATCATACCTGTAAGGTAATCCAGACATTCTAGCAATTTCTTCTCTCGTGAAAAGTCTAAGGCAAACGTATCAAATGTGTCATTGAGGTTGATTTCAGGAATTAAAACCTGGGAGGAAGCAGTTGCCATGGAGACTCTGTAATTATTTTAAAAAAATAAGAAAATGTTTTAGAAATGTCAAAAGGGCATTCATCACCATTGCTTAAGAAAGAAAGCAAATAAATTCCATTAAGAAACGGACCCAGTAATTGCATCCCTAATATGTTATGTATTCAAGTGGGATTAAAGCAGGGACTCGAGACAGCACCGTTTACCACAGCCAACGCGATCCAAGTGTCCATCAGCAGATGAGCACACCAACGACATGTGGTCTTATCCACGTGATGGAATACTACTCAGCTGTAAAGAGAGGGGAAGTCTGGAAACATGCTACAGTTGGAATAAACCGGCATCATCGGAGGCTGAGTGAACGTCGTCAAGACACCAAAGAGCAAATAGTACGTGTTCCCACCTACATGAAATATCTAGAATAAGCAAATGAATAGAGACCAAAATTGATCAGTGTTGACTCGGGAGCTGGAGACAAGGTTGGTGAGACTTCTTACATACTCTGGACACGTTGCCAGGAGAGACATAGTGTGCTGGGAAAATAGAAACCACAAACAAACCAAATTCACTGTCACTGAGGCCTATACTGCCACATAGGAACTGCCCCTGTGCGTTTCTGAGACTGTAACTGTTCACGGGAATAGAACGCCCTGTCTTTCTCCCTCAGAGCAGCAGGTGGTTTCAAACTGCTGACCTTGCGGTTCACTGCCCAACACATAATCACTACGTCACCAGGGCTCTTTTGGTCAAGTCGAGGGGCAGCATCATAGAGGAAGGCCCTTAATGAAGTGGACTGACACAGGGACGGCACCGATGGGCTCCAGCACAGGAACAATTGTGAGGATGGTGCCGGATGGGGCGGTGTTTCATTCTAATGTGCATCGAGTTACCATAGGTCCCAAGTGGCACGATGGCACCGAAGGATGACAAAAACAGCAGGGGGAGGCATCGCTGAAGGTGACTGAGCTTTTATCAAGGGTGAGGAAAGTATTGCAAATGGATAGTGGTGAGGGGTGCACACCAGGGTGAACGTAAGTAACAACGCTGAACTGTCCATGTGAGAATAGTTGAGGGGCCGATGCTTCCTTACGTGTGTCTAGATGAGTCTTTTACTACAGTCATTTCAAAACTTAAAAGTTGGTGCTATTTTTAATGCAGGCCTTAAGAAGCATCTCAGCTGGGCACAACATATTAAGAAAAAACAAATGAATGCAAGTTTTTTTTAAAGGCCCCCCCATCCCCCACCAAAAAAAGACCAACTAAAACAACAACAACTGGGAAACAACAGAATGGTGATGCTCCCTCCTTCTTTTACTGCAGAGAACAAATTCCCCTGGAGGCGTGCGAAAATTCATACTTCATGTTGCTGTGGATTTAACAGCCTGGCTGGGTCACGTCTCACCCCAGAGAAAACTATGTCGCTCCAGGCATTTCTTCACACATCTGTCTGGGAAACGGTTCGTTCCTTTCAGACCCAGGGCCTACTCCACTTCAAAGAACAGAGTCCCCAATATTTCAAACAGCCTAACAGGCAAAGTCAAGATTGAAAAAAAAATGTTTCCAGATATCGGATTAGTTTAATCAAGTCCTAGCCTTTCTCTAAAACAAACTTTTAAAAAAGGAGTTTGGGTCTGGCTCGCTCTCTCTTTTATTTTTTTTGTCCGCCTTGTATTCATTTTCTTACACCATATTCCCAGCAGATGCCCTGGAAAATATTCATGAGCAGTCTCCCACATCAAACCCCACCCCCACCCTCCGCGGACGCATCATTTCTCCTGTCCAGTGAAGTTGTCTGCCAAGCCATTGGTATGAACTAATCACCTATGTGTGATCAAGTGGCTTGAGTAAATTCATTTATTGCTGAATATTCTGACCAATTGAAAAATATGAGTGATTTGCTTTACAAACAAGAGAATTGTAGCATGAAGCACACCACTTCAGAGCATATCAAATCAGGTGGGATTTGTAATCTTGTTTTTGACCTCTGCTAAGGTGCGTCCACTCCGGGTGGTGCACGTGGTTTACCACTCTGGGCTGCTAACAGAAAGGGTGGAGGATTGAGTCCACCCAGAGGCACCTGGGCAAGAAAGGCCTGGGGATCAAATTAGGAAAAATCAGGCCTGGAACACCCAGGTTGTGCACAGTTTGACTCTGATGCACATGGGGAGACCATGGGTTCAAGTAGACTCCCCAACAACTGGTTGGTTTCAACAATAGTGGGACATCCGGTGGATTTGCTGTGTCCTACAGAGGAGCACTGACACTCAATACAAGGCCACAAGCCTGGCCGAAGGCAGCATGAGAGGAATGTCCGGTTTGTGCTCTTCCGTTTAACCTAGAAACATTTCACCCTACTCACCCCCAAACTTTGAGCTCTTCTTGCTTCTTTTAATGACTCTTCCAAGTTTCAGATGCTATAAAGCTAATATAGCTTTGCTATAAAAAAATCACACCTGTGAAAATGGCCCAGGAATGTTTATAACAGTGCTGAAAACTGGAAGCAACCAAGCTGTCCTTCAATAGGCAAATAAATTAAACTAAAAACAACTGTGGTACATCCCTACAATGGAGTATTACTCAGCAATCACAAGGGTATGAGTTATCAAGCTTTAAAAGGATGTGGCAAACCCATGAATGCATACTGTTAAGCGAAAGAAACAGTCTGAAAACTACATGTGCTATGAGTCCAAATATCGGGCTTTCTGGAAAAGGCAAAAGTAGGGATAGAGACAGTGAGAAGATCCGTAGTGGTCAGGGCTGGAGGCCAAGACATTTTTAGAGTGAAACTACTCTGTAAGATACTGTCGTGGTGAACAGGTGACACTACGCATTTGTCAACATCCATAGTGTGCAATATCAAGAGTGGATCCTTATGTAAACTGACCTCTAATTAATGAGACTGTATTGACATCAGTTCATCAACTGTAACAAATGTACTGTGGGAATGCAAGATGTTAATGGGGGAAACAGTATGTCTGTAGCCATATGCTGGGTGAAGTAGGTCATTATGTGGGAACACTGGATATTTTGCCCTCTTTTTCAGTAAATGTAAAACTGCTCTAAAAAGTAATGTCTATTAAATTTATAAAATTATAACTGAAATGCTGTAAATCCTTAGAAATCAACTTATAGTTGTGGCATTTCTAAGGTATGTCCAATAGCCTATAAATCAGGGGTTCTCAACCTGTGGGTTGTGTCCCCTTTGGGGGTCAAAGACCCTTTCCAGGGGTTGCCCAATTCATCACAGTAGCAAAATGACAGTGATGAAGTAGCAACAAAAATAATTGGATGGTTGTGGAGGTCACCACAACATTAGGAACTATATGAAAGGCTCACGGCATTAGGAAGGATGAGAACCACTGCTATAAATATAGTTCAGAGGGAGGGGGGAAAGAAGGGAGGGAGAAGAGGCAAATCAACAATGTCTTCATTGCAATGATATTGGGATCTATTGATAAACATTTGCAGGAGTAGAAATTCTGTAAAGAAAATCTTCAAGTGTCTGGACGAGGGTAGATCTTGGCTGAATGCAGATAATTTTATTGATTATGCAAATATATTCAAGTGTGTGGATCGTAGCAAACTCTGGATGACTTGTGAAGAATGGGAATTTCATACACAGCCTGCTCCTCATTGCTCCTTGGAGTTGGGAGAATGACTGAGAAGTATGGCTCATAATATAGTCACTTCATTGGCACAGGACCCAATTTAGAGTGGAAGAACCATCTTCTTGGATCGCAGTTGGAAACCCAAACGTAAACATCAACACTGTCTATTGGGGTGCCTGGGGAAACACTAAAGCATTGATGTACTGTTTGCAGTTTTTAAATTTAGGATGAATTTAGGGGAAATGGATGAGGTCCAAATGAAAGCAGTCAAGACAAATCAACACTAGGAATGTAAAAGTCAGATGAGCCACGATGAGTGAGCTATCTGGAGATTTGTAGTGAAAACCCACTGGGGCTTCAGGTGGGAACTGTTAGGCAGCAGAAGAGGGCCCAGGGTGTCCACTGGGCACGCACCGATTCAGGCCCTGAGTGAGTGGGTGGGTGGTGGGTTGTTGGGGAGGGAGGGGCGGGGCGACAGGGTTGGGGGGGGCCACCAACATGGGCAGTACACCTGAATAGGCCCAATTTAGGCAAGGTGGACTTAATCCAGCCAATGGAGTCAGCCAGTACCATCGACTACACCTCTCAGCCGCAGGCACCTAAAGGCTGGAACCTGGAGACCACTTCCCTCTTTTCCAGCTGCTCCTCTGTGGTTCCTCTAGGCTGGACCTTGGTCTCCTTGCTCTCTGGCCTCAGGTCGCCACGTGGGGGGGGGGGGGGGGTGCAGTCCTGTGTTCAGTTAATTGTAAAACCTGAAACTTCTTTTATCAAGACTCACTTGGATCACAAACCAGGCTTCAGCATGCATTTCTTTCTCGTGCGAAGGCAAGAATCGAAGCATTCCCCAAAATGAGAAATCTAACATAACTACTTTGGGGCTGTTAACCACAAGGTCAGCAGGTTGAACCCACAAGATGGTACTTGGGAGAAAGACAAGGCTTTCCACTCCTGCCAGGGGCAGTTCCACCCTGTCCTATGGGGTTGTGATGAGTCCAAATTAACACGATGGCTGTGAGTTTGAATGACAGACCAAACCAATCCACTGTCACTCCAGGTAACCTCGTATGATAGAGAACTGCTTCATAGGCTTCCACATCTTTCTCCTGTGGAGCAGCTAGTGGGTTTGAACCACTAACCTGTTGGTCAGCAGTCCAACCCATTGCACCACTAACTCCTTCTTCTAATGACAGGACTCTATGCGAGGGCAGTTCACTGAAAATGAGAAATAATACAAAGACAAGGGCACTGGCATTCTAGGGAGAGGGCGGTGGATGTTACCAGTCCAGCCTAAGTGCTTTGGATTCGCTGGACTTGCCATAGGCATTGACAGCCATGATGGCTAGCGGTTATGCCGATGTCACTGCTGGGCTGATCACTCAGATAACATCACTTTTAAGTTCTGAAAAAATATAACCCCGGAAGAAAAAGAATGTTTGGGAACCGATTGTGGTAGCAATTTTACAATACTGCTTGATGTGATGGAACTATGGAATGATACTATGTATTAACTCCCAATTAATAATAACTTTTGAAATAAAAACAAAGAAAATAGGGTTTTTTTTAAAAAAGGAGGTTTGAGGTTAATGTTTTGGTCTTTTCTGTTCTATGTGAGTTGGCCTTGACCTTTTCAAAGAAGGTAAGGCTTCTCAACCAAATAACAATAGGCTAAGAGCAAACAACACCTGTGTGATTTATTTTTTTAAACAGAGGATTCCTGGGATGGAAGAAAGGACTACCTTTTATGGCATTTGCTTTCCGTTTGATTCCTTGTTATCAAGTGCTGGATAAGATCAGGTCTGAGAGTCTCAGTAAATGCTCTTTTTTTTGTGCCATCAGAAGCTTTCTCCAGCCCCACACCCTTCAAAGCAGGCTGATTGTATTCTTTCCAAAAGGCTCTGGTTTCAAAGGCCTTGAACTCCTGGCTGTTACTGAAAGGGCTTTGACATGTCAAAGTCAAGCATCTTTCACTGGAACAAAACAATCTCAAGCTTCTATTCTCTCTGGTACTCAGCCCTCTAAGCGAGAACAAAAGCAAAGCGAGGGCAAGGTTACCCAGTCACATCGCATATGCAAGAGCCAAGTGGCCCAGGATTCCCAGAGGCCCCTGCACTCACCTCTCAGTGATATTCTTCGCTGTCTGCAGGAAGCGAGCATGGTCGTTCTCCTTCAGAGAATGCTCCGCCTGGGAGATGAGCGACGCCGAGCGCTCGATGCATTGCTTGCAGTTGGCGATCTGCTGCGCCAGTTTCCGGAGCCTCACCACCTTGAAGAGAACAGACAAGGAGAGGGGGACCAGGTGGATTCGCTGAGTAAAAATGCTTTAGCTGGACCATCCTGATGTGTGCATGGTGGGGGATGTAAGTTATCCTTCAATGTAAGTTCACCAAGTGGTTACACGAGATACTGAAAGACAACGGCAGGCCTTGTCATGGTACTTCAATATTCTCGATCTCCATGGTGACGTGCTACTGATTTGTTTTATGAGGAAACACTGAACTGTGAATTGCTTCCCTGCTGATGGGTGGGGAAAAGGTTCTGCCTAGTAGTAAATTACCCAGGGTCACCAGATGTCCTCGCTGGATCATTCCACACAATGACTTGGAAGACTTGAGGGAATTCTGGACTGCTCTACCTCTAATGTTTCAGAGGTGCCATGTAGAAAAGAGAACACCTCGGTAGTTGCGAATTTGTGGCTTAAGTCGCAACCACTTTCGAAAAAGTTTTCTGTGATTCATGTAATACAATGGGGATGGGAAGGCATTAGGTATGGCTTTTCCCACACTATCTAAAATCCATGTGTTAATGAACAGAAAGGGAGCGTGTGTTTTTTCCCCCATTGATTAATCGCTTTCCTGTTGAGAAGACGAGAAAGCGCCAAAGAAAGCACAGCTGGGCTATTTCCCGGGGCTGGGAACGTCATTTCCAGGCACCCTGTGCTTCCTTGATAACTTGCCTTTTCCAGTCAGGATAACACTGCAGGTTTGGTTCACAGCCTCCATTCCATATCCCGATTCTGTCTTGCTTGAGAATGACCCTCTGGCTTAATTGACCAGACCCTCTGGAGCAGGCCACGCTAAGACCAAGGCAGTGCACTGGACTGTTCCCTTTGGGGTTTGGGATCTGCGGCGAGGTGCAGACCGCTGGCTGAAAGCCAAGTTAAAATTAGAGTGCTAATTGGAAGTGCCGTGTGCCCCCTCCACACACCCTTGGACAGGTCTTGGCTGGCTTTAAGATAATTCTGGAATGAAACAGAGCCCGAGGCAAAAGGATAGGGAGGAGGCCAGTTAATCTGTTTTACAGACAAGGCTGGCCCAGTTTCCCTCCAGAATTCCTGAGAATTCTAAGAACTTTCTTCCTTCTTGAAGTCAGCATTATCATCCCTGTCTAGCTCTCAAGGAAGAAAAGGAAGGAAAGAGATGTCAAAACTGGAGGCCTCTCCGGACTATCGGACCGCAGCTATGAACTACAGGAAATGAAGGAAATTAACACTGAAGTGCAAAGCAGCAGTCACACCATTTCGGTGCAAAGATGAGAACGATGCCAGAAAGCAAAGTGTCAGCGAATGACGTGTTCAAATGTTGGGGCAAATGGTATGTGACCTTGAGCCTGGTAAAAGGCTTAACTCATCCTAATTACTGTGATTTCTCCCAGGGGATTAACAGCGTTCGTTAATTTAATAAAATAACGCTTCTTTTACACAAACTAGAATTTCGCTTTTGCCATCATTATATGCATAGGAAAAACTAATATGAAGGCATTCAAGCCAACTCAAGAAATTAGAACACACTTAGAAAAAACTGTCAGAGAAAGGAAAAGTCTCTCCAGGAACGAAGCAAGTGGAATATTTGATGACACAAAAATGCTCAAGAAATATGGATCTGTGAAATACTTTAGGATGTTTCATACAATTCTCTAACAAAAGAAAACGGGGACAAAATATTTCTTTAGAATCATTTGATCTCAATTGCAATGTTTGAATTCCATCTTCTTTGTGTCTTTTCTCTGGACTTTAAAGTGTGACGTAAGTAGTAAAGAAAAAGAAATACACAAAAGCACCTACGTTGAAGCAAGCTCAATGTGAGGCCTGCCTTTGAAAATACATGACTGTGCGATCAAGAGCATGTGTCGGGTTATCATTTTCATTCGAGGCCACTGTATTACTCCACGTGATCAGCCAGATCAGCGCTTCTCAAACCTGGCATGCAGGAGAATTAACTGGGAGGTTTTTTGGGTTTTTTTTCAAACACCTGTTGATGTCTGGGCACCCTTGCCAATATTCGAATGAAAAAGTTGTAATTGGCAGAGCGGTGGGAATTTCATTTTAGCCAGCATTGAATATTTTCTGATCTGCAGGTGATAAACTGTAAGGTCAAGATCAGCGTTAATATAGTTAAAGAGGAGAGGAGAAAAGACAATAACAGAGGGTATCACACACACATACACACACAGAGAAAAAAACCCAATTTCCCCCATCCCCCAAATTCATTTGTGTACATCTGCTAGATTGGAAGTCGTACGCCCTTCTTATTGTGGGAGACAGCTTAAATAGAAAAACACTGCTCTAAGTTAGAAACCCACAAACTAGAGTCTGGGAACCAAATGCAGCACACCATCTGTTATTGTCAATAAAGTTTCATTGGCACAGAGCCATACCCATTTGTTCATGAATTATCTAGGCTGCATCTTTTGTGCTACAACGACCATCACTCACAACCAAGCACACTGCCATCGAGCCCATTCTGACTCACGGAGCCCCTGTAGGATAGGGTAGAGCTGCCCCTGCGGGTTTCCAAGACTGTTATAACTCTATGGGAGTAGAAAGCTTCATTTTGGTCCTGAGGATAGGCTGGTGCTTTTGAACTGCTGACCTTGAGATTAACAGCCCGATTTTTATCAGCTATGCCACCAGGCCTTGTACAGAGACCACATGACCTCTAAAATATTGGCAATCTGACCTCCGTCAGAAAGTGATGTGCTTCCAATCAGATGGCTGTGATTAAAACCACAGTCTGAGAAACCTGGTCACCAAACCCAACCCACTGCCAGTCAGCTGCTTTTGACTCATTGTGACCAGCCCTACAGGGTTCACCAGGCTGGGATCTTTCTGGAAGCCACATCGTTTCCCTCAGCACGGCAAATTGCCATTCTTTCAGTCACCACGGTGCCACCAGGGCTCCAACAAGTGATAGCTTTCAAAATCAGACACTGAACTAAATGTACTTAAGCAAAATATGTATTGCCACAGACACGCATATTTTGAGGAACCCTGCAAAATGTATAATTTAAATACAAATTCCAACAAGAACATTTTCTATTCGTTTAAAAAAGAGGCACTACTCTGCAGATGCCTTACAGCTTCAAGGGAAAGCTTTCTCCTTTGCTCTAGTCATTGTTCCTTCAGGAAATGAGCTTGTCACACTGATCTCGAATTCACTTTCTAATTTCAGTCCTGAAACTATTTTGTCTACTGGAAGATCCCTTTAAAGGGAACACAAGTCTGTTGATGGCTTTTATTCTCCTACGCATTCTTTCAAAAGCATCCTTTTAACGGAAATACATTCTTAAAGCTTTTAGGTGGGTGTAAGTAAAGGAGCCCTGGTGCGGCTACCAGAGAGGCTACCAGATAAACTGTTAGCTGCAAAACGGCTAGTTCAAACCCACCAGGCCTCCACAGAACAACAACAACAACACGTGGCTCTTAGTGCCTGTATAGCTTTACAGCCTTGGATACCCTACACTATATAGGGTCACTATAAATCAAAATGGACTAGATGGCAGTTTTTGTGTTTAGTTTTTGGTTGTGCATGTAGGGATGTGTGAGATACAAAATCCTCAATTAACATTTGTATCTATGCAGATGAAGTGGCCAGTACACCTTAGGGCTCTGGAAAGCTGATATAGTTAGTCCCAGTGAATTCTCTTTCAGTGGGGAGATTACGAGGAGATAAAAAGCAGTAAAGACCCTTTTCTTGTTGACCTGTGTCCTTGAGTTGTCTACCTCTGCTTGGTGTCTGAATGGCAGACGCACAGTTTGCTTAATCCGGTGTGTGCCATCCGCTTTCCTTGTGGAGCCCTCTGGCTGGCCAACTCTAAAGGCAGCCAAGCTATTTCAAAGAGCAAACAGCAGTCTGAAAGCAAGGATTGGCCATATGTATTCATGTGTAACAGCACCTGCTTGGCAAGCGCCTCAGTCAGAGGATTTGCCGGGAGATTGTTTAGTTAGAGCAAGTTTAACAGCCCTGTGGTAGTCACCTAACCTGGTGTCAATTTAAAGATTAAGAGTGTAAGGGTGGAGTCTAGGCTGTCAATTTGGAGACAGCCAATGAGACTTCTGTGTGGGCATGGCCTTCTCCAGAGAATTCTGGGAAATCTGGTAACTCCTTGGAGGCAGGAGAGACACTCTCTCTCTCTCTCTACTACTCCCTGGGAGACATTGCAGCTGACAAGACCTTTGAACCTGGAAAAGCCACGTGGAGACCCCTGCCAGCACACTGAGATGCTTACAACGCCACTGGATCCAAAGACTTTCTACCCACTGGTCTGTGATCGTCCTGCATTCGGCATCATTGCATGTGTTTCGTGAGTCAGAAGAGGACTTTATGGATTGCTGTCGGACATATGGGATAATGTCGGACTTATGGACTTGATCTGGACCGGGCTGGGATGTTTTCTCAATGTTCAATTTGCTCTTGTATATAAATCTCTTTGTTATACACATATGTATGTCCATGGATTTGTTTCTCTAGTCTGCCCAGACGAACACAAGCCCCATGCAGTCAATGGAATGAATGGTGCCATTTACCATCCTGTTCTCCACTATCTTGTACAATTCTTCCTCCCCCTCCACACTTCTGCGAGGACACACTGTCTTCCTCTTGACTCAGTGTACTCAGCCTGACTGACCACCAAGCCCCTCACGGAGGTCTCTTATCCATACTTATCCTCCTCACCTGGTCCCTCAGATTTCCAGTGTCAGGTTGACCCCACCTCACAGGGACCTCATAAGCCATTCAGTTACACTGTTATGACCCATTGGGTTTCCATTAGCTTATTTTTGGAAATGCACGTATGTGTCGCTTAACGTCCTTCTATCCTTTTAAACAATGTCAGAACACATATCCGATATGTGGTCCTTAAGGGGTTCTGTTTGTTTTTAAGAGGTAGCTCTCCCTTTGTTCATTATTTCCCCCTAATGGTTTTGAAAGAAGCCCTGGTGATACTGTGGGTTAGGCATTGGTGTGCTAACCACAAGGTCAGAGGTTCAAACCCACCAGTCCCTTCTAGGGAGAAAAGATAAGGCGGTCTGCTTCTATATTCACAGTCTTAGGAACCCCATATAGAGTTGCTATGAGTCAGAATCAACTTGATGGCAGTACATAAATGGTGTTAAAGACCCCAAATTTACACAGCGAAGCATGAGTAGGACATAAGCAGGTGGGGCAGAAGACATGGCGTTGCTCCTGCTCTCCAGCTCTGACTGGCAGGCAGGTGAGCAGAATGGTGGGGAAGGATAGGCCTGGTGCACTCCTAACCCATCAGCTGCTCTCCCTGCCTGTTGTTCCTCCAACCTCGGTAGAAGCTGCCAGAGGAGCAGCGGTGGCTGCTAGGACAACCAGAAGTAGGCTCTCAAAAGAGGTTTCTATCGTGTTTGCACAACATCCAAATCACATAGTACTCTATCTCACAGAATATAGTGTGGGCCTTACATGGCGTATGCCTGTCATTCTTTTCTGCCGGTTTGTGGCTTAATTTTTTTATTCTCTTGACAGTGCTATTTGAAGAGAAGTTTTACCTTTGGGCCCACAATTATAGAGAAGCAATTGACAAAACCCACTGCCATCGAGTCAATTCCAAAATGAGTCTCTAAGACTAAATCTTGGAGAGTAGACACTCTCTTCTTTCTCCTGCAGAGTGGCTAGTGGGTTTGAACCTTCAGCGTTGCCGTTCACAGTCCAACACATACTCTCCATCACCACCAGGCATCCCCAGAGAGACACACCGAGAAAATAATGGCGGGGATTGGCACAGAACCATGCAGTGTGTCCTTCTGTTGTGCAGAGTTGCTTTGGATCAAAAGCAACCTAATGGCGCCTTAACAATGGCAAGCTCCCCATGCTGCCCCCTGGGAGTATACAATGGAGGAGCACTTCTGTTAAAGAGACATGCCCAGGAGACTAAAACAATACCAAAAAAAGGAGTGGGGGAATTGCCATGCAAGGGCTTTTGAAGTAAGGCTTTAATGCCTAGGAGGATTTGACAGACGATATCAAAAGAGTGTTCAATATTTTCAAGGCCACAGGAACATGAGAGTATGACGTTTCCTTGAGAGAGAAAATAAGAAATCTGCCATAGAAATCTTACCTTTCCTTCTTTGATCTTGGTTCCAATAATTTGTCGTCTTTGCTGAATGATCTCAATGAGAAGATCACACTCTTCCATCAGCTTGGCTTCTTGACGCGATGCATTCACCTACAGGATAGAGTCAATGATAAGTATTAACCTGGCTTTTATTTTCAGTTAAAAGCTGGTGTTTTAGCTTGGTATAGTAGGCTTCTAGGAAGCCCTGGTGGCACAGTGGTTCCGAGTTGGGCTATAACCTGAAAGGTCAGCACTTCGAAACCACCAGCCACTCCAAAGGAGGAAGGCAAGGCTCCCTATTCTAGTCATCAGTTACAGTTTTAGAAATTGATGGGACAGTTCTACCCTGTCCTATAAGGGTCGCTATGAAAGAGTATTGACTTGATGGCAGGGAATTTGAATAAGTATGTTCCTAGAAATCTCTAAAAAGAGGTTTTAGATGTGGGCTCTTTTCCCCTTAGAGCCAGGGCCGGAAACTACACGGCTTACATGCCCACTTTGCTCTCCTGCATCTCATGACTGTGAAATGATAGCAGGCTTTTGCTGAGTAGGTCTGGGAATCGTTCTTACACAGTATGCAGTACCAGATAGACAGCAACTAGTACTTAGAATAACACTTAGGTTCCATTGCTGTTTCTAGACTTTGAAAGCATTGTGTCAGATTTGGCCCATAAAACTAATTTTTAAAAATAAAACGCTAAAATAAAATATTAGTTTTTCAGTAGCAGATAGTTTACTGACATTTATTTTGGGGCAACATTTCCAAAATCAAAGTAGCAAGGTTGCATCGTAGTCCTTTAATATTTATTTTAAAACTAGCATTAATTTTGTATATAATCCCTCTATAAAAAATTAAACAAGGCAGCGGATGGTGTAAGATATGAAAATAATAATCATTTATAATTTTTAATAAAGGAGTCACGAGGGTGGGAGAGTTGGGGGAGGGAGGGAAAAAAGAGGAGCTGATACCAAGGGCTCAAATAGAAAGAAAATGTTTAGAAAATGATGGCAACTTATGTACACATGTGCTTGATACAATTGATGTATGGATTGTTATATGAGTTGTAAGAAGTCCCAACAAAATGATTTATTATTTCCAAATAGTAATTTTAAAAAATCGAATGAGGAATAGATTGAACGAATTGTCTTATTAATGTTGGGGCATACTGGTGGTACAACTGTTAACCACTCAGCTGCTAACCAAAAGGTTGGCAGTTCAAACCTACCAATTGGCTTTGAGAGAAGACCTCACTGTCTGCTCTAATAAAGGTTACAGCATAAAATATCCTACATGGCAAGTCTACTCTGTTACATTGAGAGGAAATTCATTCCCCGGCACCCAACAACAAGAGCATACTTGTGAAAGACCAAGGTTCCACAATGTAAACAAACCATTCTCCTGGAAAGGTGGATCATAATCAAATGGCTTGTGTTTGAAGGTTTGAGACTCATTGTACACAAGGGAGGAGCACAATGAGCTCATTCTTGGCAACTGGGCTTGGGAAATACTCTGCGCTCACAGTTTCCTTCTCCAGAGGAATCTGAAGTGCTTGTTCACAAACAGAGACCTCGATTTCACCCTTGTGGGAGATGGAGATAGCACCCCAGAGTGGTATTCTGGGAACACAGGCTCGGTAGAGGGAGAATGGCATGGTCACTCTAGCATGTCCCAGGGAGCAGAAATGCTCGCATCCAGCCTCAGAAGTAAACAGGCGTCGTTTCATTCTCTATGAATGAGGCAAACTGGAAGTAAGGTCCTACGTTCAAAATAAAAATCTACCCATGGCCGCTCCAAGAACCCATTTCACGTTTCCAGAAGCTACAGTATGCCTGGAGTTTTGCACCCAGTGGTCATAAGACGCAACATCTGCAAACTGAGATGGTGGTAGTAACCACAGGCGGCAAAACTTCTGGTGATGCCTGATGCCAGTGTTGCACACAGAGCTATTTGCTAAGGGTTTCTTCCATGAACAAAGGGGGGGGCGAGGGGGGGCATGCATTGATTGATGAGAACAGAAGGAGACCATCAGAGGGAATGTTTTAAGGAGCTGGATCACGGGGCTCATTTGCTCTTCCCATTACTCTTATGTCATCATGTCTATTTCCCCTGAGGTCCCCCAAAATGAAGTCAGCTAGCCGGTAAAATATTTACTCTGTCTTGTTTTTGTGCATGTTATTATCTCCGCAGGCCTGTCTAAATAAGATAGGCTGGATGAACAATCTGGAGGAGAAAACAACGGGACCGACAATTCTGGGGGGACATGGGAGAGGGGGAGTTGGGGGGAAAGGAAGGGGTGTTAACAAACACAGGGACAAGGGAACAACAATTGATCCAAATTGGTGATGAGGTGGGTGTAGGAGGCCTGGCAGGGCATGACCAAGAGTAATGTAACGGAGAGGAATTACTGAAACCCAAATGAAGGCTGAGCATGATAGTAGGGCAAGACGAAAGTCAAAGGAAATAGAGGAAAGAGCTAAGGGCATTCATAGAGGTCTAAATAAAGGCATGTACATATGTAAATATATATGAGGAGAGGGGGAGATAGATCTATGTGCATATATTTATAGGTTTAGTATTAAGGTAGCAGATGGACCTTGGGCCTCCACTCAAGTACTCCCTGAATGCAAGAACACTTTGTTCTATTAAACTGGAATTCCATGATGCTCACCTTCCCGACACAGTCACTGAAGACAAAGCAGGTACATAAGCAAATGTGATGAAGAAAGCTGATGGTGCCCAGCTATCAAAAGATATAGCGTCTAGGGTCTTAAAAGCTTGAAGGTAAACAAGCGGCCATCTAGCTC